GCTCTTTTTGTTAACTGCCATTTTGATTTCTTCTGCTGTTAGGATTGCAAGTATCCCGAGTCAGGAGAGGGAGTCAGTGAGAAAGTTTAGTTTATATAGCGATAACGTACATCCAATTTCTTGTCATTCCGTCGCTGAAATTATCTGTAAAATTAAGTTACTAGCTAATGTTATCATTTAGTGCCTAAAAACATACAGATTAATCAATCTAATTTTACTGAGTATCTCTCAGCCTGAGGTACAAGATAGGCCAGCGCCAACGGTATAGCTGCTGAAGCTCCCCAATGATTAAATAAATTACAAAAATTTGTTCCATCATTTTCAAGTTTCTCCACGTGGTATGTTCATTGCTTGATGATGGGCTCATCTACCACAACTGCTGTAGCAATCATATTGCTTCAAGCTCGGGATACGACATGATTGCTTGTGTGAATGTACCGTCATGGTTGCTAGGTGGTAGGAGCTACAAGATAAAGATCTGAAGGCTAGACCATCCAATTTCACAGCCACTCTCTTCCGGCCTTCACAGTCTTCGTGGTCTACAAAGGATGCGGTCTAGGTAGGACCCGGCCCCCAAATTTGGACACACCTTATATATAGTCAGCCCTCCCTTATTTGCAGTTCCGCATCCGTGGATTCAACCAACTAACAGAAAACTGAAGATATTTGGCAAAAAGCAATCGAGAAAGTTCTGAAAAGCAATTTATATTTGCTGCATTGAACACTTCACTGAATACACGCTAATTGTCATGCCCTGCTCGTCCGCTCCTTCTGTGTGCCTCGCCCCCTCATCTACCCCGTGTGGATTCCCCGTGTTTACCAGCTGTTTCTTGTTGCTGTCATTAGTCCTGCGTTAGGTATGTTTATCCCAGTCCGGTCATTAACGTTGTGATGTGTTCCTGAATGTGTGTTTGCCGATTAAATCACTTGTTTCCCGACTTCCCAACTCCTGCGCCTAATTCCCTGGTTTGTGAGTGATTGTACATGATAGAATGACCGGACTCCAAAGGAAGACGCCTCCCCTAACCGAGGAGCAGTACCTTGGTCTAACCAACAAGGTGATCTATTAGCTTGATTAGCCCGAGGTGAGGGACGACCCGCTGGCTCGATCACTCGCCTACCGGAGCAGGGACATATTGGAAACAATGTCCCTGTCCAAAGACGCGCACCTCGTCTGAAACCTGCGGCGGCTCAGAAGAGGGGTGGCTGAGGCGAATATGAGGCAGGTAGCCCTAGACAGCGGACTTCCCTATGGTCCGCTGTCTGAGCTGCCCAAAGTGCCCCAGACAGCAGGGAAAAGGAAAAAGCGGACGAACCAAATACGGGAGACGCCAGAGGTCCTCCTAGGGGCCGTCTCCGTCTCCACTGCCTGCCCTGCTGCACATCTGGAGGAATTCATCCCAATTCTGGATCCGGCGGTGTTCGTGTCTGACGTCACCCCCGCTGCTTTGCCCGAGCAGATGCCTGAAGCTCATCCGCTTGCCACTTCGCTGCCAGTGCTAGCAGCTCACCCCTTTCTGGGGACGTGCCTGGCCTTTAAAGGGGCCAGGTCAGTTGGGGTCCCTCTGGCTTCGGCTCACCACCCGTTCCTCAAACGGGCAGTGCCCACTGTCATGGCGCAAACCCCTGCAACGCCCCCCGAGGTTCCTGTGCCGGCGGTTCCTGCAGCCCCCCCCCCCCCCCCCCC